CTCCTTCTCTGGGATGGTTATAACCCAGTACAGGACAGTTGGAAATCTAAATAAGCCTGGGCCACAGCAACTAAATACAGCTCTTTCTGGTTTGTCTTAATGACAAATCAGGAATGCCATTAGCAATTTGGCAGTTCTGGGGGATGGGAACGGGGCCGACAGATCCTCTGGGGACCTCTGCTCGTTACCCCTTTTGTTATGATTGGAGGCCGGGTGAGCCCAGCACAGGAGACAGCCAGGACCACAGACACTTCTAGACCCCTTGGTGGTGCCCTAAGGGAGGGAGGACCAGGGTGCTGTGGGCAGCCAGGAGGGGACAGGGAGTTCTTCCCAGAGGAGGTGAGGCTTAGGGTGACTTTGAAAGGACCAGGAAGTCAGCCCAAAGTGGCTCAGCGGGCAGGGAGTAGTGTGTGCAGACACAGGGGACATTTGTGCAAATGTGGGGATAACAAGATGGGCTGTAGCCTCGGCCTCTGCCCCCCAGGCCCCTCCTTGGGTGGGGGGGCAGTCTCCAAAGCTTTGGGTCTAGAAATGGCCTCAGAGAAATAGCCAGACAAAATAGGGAGAGTTGGATGTGACAGCCAGCCTCCTCTGTGGCCAGCCTGTCCCCGTGTCCGTTGTCCCCGCAGCATCGTTCCCAGGCCTCAGTCAACCCAGAGAGACTGCAGGCCCAACCGGCTACACTGCCCAGACTTGGGAAGTGGCTCCACCGCCTCCTGGAGAGACTGAGCCAGCAGCCCTTCCTGGTCTCAGTGGACACTGACAGGTGTGAGCATGGCTGCTCTCCTGTGGAGGCATGTGGAAGATTGCTGTTTCCTTTTTCCCAGGAGCAGCCCTGGGGGTTTAGTCCTGCTGTGGAAGGAGGCTGAGCAGGTGTGAGGTGCTCGCTCTGTGAGCAGCCGTGGGGCTCCCTTCTCTGTGCTCTGTTGCTCTCTACTGTGGGCGCGCTTGCGTGTGCGTGTGTGTGTGTGTGTGCATACATTTATTCTAATGGGCACAGAGTGGAGGCAGAGAACCTGGTAGAGGATCCCTGGGTACTCTCTTGGGGCATTCGTAAGATGCCCATGCGAAGGTGAATATTCAGGCGGTGGTGGTATAGAGTCCAGTCTCTGCTGATTCTGAGGGCCCGCTCTTTCCAGACTCAGCAGACCCGCTGTAGCCTGCTGCTGTTCATGTGCACGTCTGTTCTGGTGCAGCTGTGGGGATCGGTCGCTTCCCTCTGGTCTGACCTTTGGTTTGGGTCTGAAAGCTCTGCTGCTCCTTGCCCAGTCTCCGTGCCCCGCCCCTCGTCCTTGACACTGAACATGCAGCGGGATGCAGTGGACGGTCTGGTCGTGGAGTCAGACCTGGTAGGAGCCTTAACATTTGAGGTCCTCAGGCTCTCCGTCTGTGTAGTAGGGGTGAGTGCTGGGGCTCCGAGATGTCAGTCGTGTGGGTTAGTTTCCCCACTTCCTGACCCGGACGAGGGGCAGGTGGATGCTGTAACAAAGCCAGC